CCTCCTCAATGCCCATCATTGCTTGTTCTGCTCTCTCCCCCAACCCCCATTAACCTTCAGTTTGTTCTCAGTATTTAAGAGCTTCTTATGGTTTGCCTCCTTCCTTCTCTGTAACTTTTTTCCCCCTTACCCTCCCCCATGGTCTTCTGTTAACTTTCTCAAGATCCACATGTGAGTGAAAACATATGGTATCTGTCTTTCTTTGACTTATTTCACTTAGCATAATACCCTCCAGTTCCATCCGCATTGCTGCAAATGGCCAGATTTCATTCTTTCTCATTGTCAAGTATTATTCCTCAGTTGATGAGTGGATGAAGAAGATGTGGTTTATATGCACCTTTATAAACAGTCTTTAAAAACAAAACAAAACAAAGAAACAAACAAAAAACATCTAAAGGAGTTGGTACCTGTATGGGTAATCCTGCCCATAGGAGGCTTCCTTGGAATCACCAATTCCTTGTTGGGAATATGAGAAATTTCACAAGTAAGAAAGTAGCTTACTATCCCTCGCTTGCCAAGCAGGACTCAAAAATAAATACAGTAGAAAAACACTGGCTCTTCTATGCCAACCATAAAACTTAGACTATTTTAACCAGAACTGCAGGTGTCATTTGGAAGCACTTGATTTTCAGTACACTAGGTGCATCGAGAGTGCTGGCTGTGCTGGTCTGGAGGAGAGGCTGCTGAGTTGGCTCAGAGTCAGTCTTGCCCAGTAAATGAGCAGTTGCCAGGTACAGAGGGGTGGAGTTTGGCATAAGGGGGTCCTGCCTCTACTGGGGGTCTCTGTGCTGCTCTCTAGGGTCCCACCATGTTGATGTTGGTGGGAAAGTGGAGCCACCCCATTCCCTTGTTCAGGCAGCCCTTATAGAATAGCTAGGGCAATCAGCATGCCCTGTGACACAACTATCCAACGTTTTTCTTTGGCAAGTGCCTGGGATTCAAAATTCAAAGTCTTAAAGGATCTGGCACCACGCAGATCCGCCCCCCTACCCCCCATCCCTTAGATTAGAGCCTCTCCACGCTGTGTCTGTTGTCCTTTTCCCAGAAAAATAGCCCCCTGCCTGCTTAGTGCGTGGAATCTATGGTGTAGCATATCTAAAAAAGCAGCAACAAGGTTATATGCACTCTTGGCAAGCCCTCTGGGTGAAAGACCTTTTGCTGATGCCTAAGGGGTCTTTTGTCCTAAGTACTCCAGGAAGGGGACTGTTCTCTCCCAGTGAGCCCCAGAGATCTCTACACCAAGACACTGCCATTTTTCTCTCCCCCAATTCACTTCTATGCACCTTGTACAAGCCACACTTTCCCACCAACTTTGGAAATCCTTCTTCCAGTCTACAGATCAATTTCCTAGGTGTTCAAAGTGATCTGACCTCAATATAGCTGTGTTTGAGAGATGAGGAAAGCCTAGGGTTTCCCTATTTCTCTGCCATCTTAACTCCTCCCTCAAACTTTAAGTGATTTAAGAAAGTACCTGTTGTACCCATGCTGGAGCCAGTCTCCTGTTCAAGAATTCCCTTGAGTCAGATAGAGCAGGTTAGGCCTTCTATCAATTTTGGTACTTTGGCCCCCTCCCTACATACCATAGAAATAGCTGGTGTGGGACCAGGGGTGGTTCTGTGAGGCCGTATTTTCCCTTTTGCTCTTTCAGTAAACAACACTGTTCTTACTGTTGGGTCTACAGGAAGAGCAGAATGTACTTTTGCCCTGAGCAGCATTCTACTCTGATAGAAAAGACAGGACAGTCACCAGAACTCAGGCAGAGCCACACAAAGGCAAAACTAAAAGTGCCTGGGTACAGTTCTAGATGCTGGGTACAGACCTAGAAACAGTTCTAAATATAGTACTGGATGGAGAGAAAAGTTGTTTGTCAAGGAAGTCTCCCAGAGGAAAGTTTTAAAGGAGTAGCACACTGCTAGCCTGAAAGGAAGGGAAATTTACTGAACCAAAGAAATGTGTAAGGCTCAATTATATTTAACATAAATTTATTATGTATTCATTATGTGCCTGGCAGGCAGCTGAGTGCCCTGGGGTGAACAACATATACTCATAACTTATGATCTGCAATCGGGGAATAAAGAAAATAAAGACACACAGATAACTGTATATGTATATATGTAAATATGTATATATATACATATACATATTTTTTAATTTCAGTTTTATTGAAGTAAAATTGACACAAAGTTGTAAGATATTTAAAGTGTACATTGTGGTGAGTTGATAGACATATACATTGTGAAATGATTCACTATGAGTTCCCCACTGTGAGAGGATTAATGATGGCATTTTAATCTGATTGTTTCATTAAATGAAGATAAGTGTTCAAACTGCATCTTTGTTGTCACCACTTCGTCTTTACACGTGGAAGAGCTTCAGCTGGAGCTTTGGTTTTCCGTGTGTGGTCCCTGGAACAGCAGTGTCAACAACACCTGGGAATTTGTTAGCAGTACAAGTTCTGGGCCTCACCCAGGCCCTCTGAATTCCAAATGCTGGGCATGAGAGGCCTGAGAAAATTGAAACTTAAAAGCTTAAGTTACGGGAAACTGAAACCTAACCAAGCTTAACCAGCTTGTTCCGCTTCTGTACAATTGCTTGGCGCGCCCATGTATTCCTGATCAATCATTATTGCCTGGCACATCCGTATATTCTTGATCAACCATTGTTACTTGGCACATCTGTGTACTCCTGATCAATCATTGTTGCTTGGCACATCCGTGTATTCCTGATCAATCATTGTGATACCTGTACCCCCGGTTGTGGTCTGACCTAAAGGCAGGAACCAATCAAATACTGTTAAGTGTCCAACTTTAAACACCAACCAATCGCAGCTCTGTAACTGTGGAAAATTCCTGATTTCCCCATGACTTGTTTGTACCTGTCTATAAAAGGGGTGTAAAAACCTCTCTCAGGGCGTCTTGGCATCACCGGCAATGGGGGCGCAGAGGTCCAGGTTTGAACCTGCAATAAATGACCCTTGCTGCTTAGCTTTGACTCTGGACTCTGGTGGTTCGTTTTTGGGGGTCTCTTAGACTCTGGGCGTTTCAGGCACAGGGCCCATCATTCTGTGTTTTCACAAACCTTACAGGTAAGGTGGCATTTCCTGAAGTGAGCACCACTGACAAGAGTAATATCCCTGACTTCTTTTATTGTGAATTTGATTAGTGAGTAGAAGAGACAGCACTGAGCATACCTAGCTCAGCCCCTTCCAGTTTTAGTTGATTTTCTTTTCTTATCCAGGGCCAACCTGCCCAAAGAACACTTGCATTCCAACCTGAAACACAAGTGAATCTAATAAGAGAAAACTCTCTCCCGTGGTGGGAGTTGGGGGTGCTCATCATTACTTGAGATGAGGAGTAAGTCTGTCTAATTTAGTGAGGCAGGATTAGCAAGACAATCAAGGTTCATATTTAAAGCTGATGGCTTAATCGTCTGTCTCTAGGTCTTGATTATCAATTGCTTCTGAAGATGGGAGGAAGAAATGGAGTGTTATTTGTTGTACCTCTACAGTTCCAACACTTAGTTATAGTGAAAGTGGGCGTGCTTCATATTCACAGTTAATGCAGAAGAGAGATCTGACTGGGAGAATCACAGGACAGAAGAACCAGAGGACATCCTAGAATTTTTTAGGTAAAGATAACTTTAGAAATGATCAGTTGTTAAGACCTGGTTCTTTGAAAGAATTAACAAAATTGATATCCCCTAGCCATATTTATCAAAAAGAAAAAGGAAAGGACCCAAATAAATAAAATCACAAATGAAAGAGGAAAGATCACAACCAACAATGCAGATATACAAACAATACTGAGAGAAAATTATGAGCAATAATATGCCAACAAATTGAGCAATCTGAGAGAAATGGATAAATACCTAGGAATATAAACTACCAAAACTGAAATAGGAAGAAATAGAAAATTTGAACAGACATGTAACCAGTAAAGAAATTGGATCAGTAATCAAAAAATCTTCCAAGAAACAAGAGTCCAAGACCAAATGGCTTCCCAGGGGAATTCTATCAAATATTTAAAGAAGAGTTAACACCTATTCTTCTGATGCTGTTTCAAAAAATGGGAAAAAAAATTTCTAATCCCATTCTATGAGGGATGATTCCATCCCATTCTATGTTGATTCCAAAACCAGACAAAGACCCCACGAAAAGGTGAATTACAGACCAATTTCCCTGATTAATATGGATGCAAAAATTCTTAACAAGATATTAGCAAATCAATTCCAATAATTCATTAAAAGCATTATTTACCATCATCAAGTGGGATTTATTCCTGAGCTGCAGGGATAGTTCAATATCTGCAAATCAATCAATGGATACACCACGTTAATAAAGAAAAGATAAGAACCATATGATTCTCTCAACAGATGCAGAAAAAGCATTTGGCAAAATACAGAATCTTTCTTGATAAAAACCCTCAAGAAAGTAGGAGTAGAAGGAACATGCCTCAACATCATAAAGGACATATATGACAGACCCACAGCTAATATCCTCAGTGGGGAAAAACTGAGAGCTTTCCCCCTAGAGTCAGGAACATGACAGGGAGGTCCACTCTCACTACTGTTGTTAAATTTTTTTTTTCAACGTTTTTATTTATTTTTGGGACAGAGAGAGACAGAGCATGAACGGGGGAGGGGCAGAGAGAGAGGGAGACACAGAATCGGAAACAGGCTCCAGGCTCCGAGCCATCAGCCCAGAGCCTGATGCGGGGCTCGAACTCACGGACCGCGAGATCGTGACCTGGCTGAAGTCAGACGCCTAACCGACTGCGCCACCCAGGCGCCCCTCACTACTGTTGTTTAACATAGTACTGGAAGTCCTAGCCTCAGCAATCAGATAACAAGAAGAAATAAAAGGCATATGAACTGGCAAAGTAGTCAAACTTTCACTCATTGCAGATGACATGATACTCTACATGGAAAATCCAAAAGACTCCACCAAACAAAACAAAACAAAACAAAACAAAACAAAACAAAACAAAACAAAACAAAACAAAAACTGTTAGAACTGATAAGTGAATTCAGCAAAATTGCAGTATATAAAATCATGGCCCAAATTTAAGTGGAATTAAGCAACTAGGCTGTGCTGGATCCCATAAGCAAAGTAGATAGCAAACCCAATCAGCATCCAGATACCAACAGGGGACCAGGTGTCAGCTGTCAGCTGCATCATAAGGCAAACATTCACAAAGATGCTCAGTAGCGGGAGGAAAGGCACAGCAGGGACCTTAAAGTGAAGGCAACTGGAGCTCTGTGGCTGTCTCCAGATGACACCAGTGAGCCCAGTGATGAACACCAGGAGCACCACAACCAGTGAAATCCACACTGGGTTTCCAGAAAGTAGAACTGGCCACTGGGCCAGCACCAGGCAAAGAAGAGTGAGTGGCAGAACAAGCAGTAATGAGCAAACATGGACAACCCAGCCAGAGAGTGGAGTGGGGGTGGAGCTGCCTGGAAAAAGTAGTCGCTGTAGAGTCAGCCTCTCTGCTGAAGGTCCATTCTCCTCCTGCATCTCTGCTTCATTTGCCCCATTCTTCACCTCAGGCTGATACCTGAGGATGAGAACACAAAGAGCAACCAGAGAATGAGATATCAGGGACCCAATTGACCTGAGGTCCAAGAGATCTGTGAGTTTAAAGAAGAATATCATGACGGCTGCAATAATTCCAAAGATCACAGCGGCCATGATGGGGGTGTATGTGCCAGCATGGATCCAGGCAAGGACAGGGAACAGGAGGCCATCTGTTGCCATCTTGTATATCAACTGCTTAATGGGTAACATAAAGCCCAAGATGCGTGCAGAAAGACTACAGAAAAATCCAAAGGTAAAACGTAGTAGCCAAGGGCCCAGCCAATATGGAGAAATGCTTCAGGCAAGGTGTTCCCAGGTTGAAGTTTGTAGTAAGGCAACATAAGTGTAAGTGCTGCAGAGACACTAAAGTACACGAAAAAGCAGATGAGCAGTGAAACCACAATGCTCATGGGGATGGAACGCTGGGGATTCTGGGCTTCCTCAGCTCTGGTAACAATATTGTCAAAACCAATAAATGCATAGAAACAGGTAGCTGCTCCACGGAGAATCCCTTCAAAGCCAAAAGGCACAAATCCTCCATAGCCCAGGGTGGCCCAAGCTTGAGGTGTCATTGAGTCCAGCCTTTACGTAGTCCTCTTCTGTGAGCTTCCAGTTGTGCAGGTCCCCTTTAATGAAGCCAGTGATGATGATAAAGCTAAGAATCAAAAGTTTCAACATTGTGACTGCTCTGCTAACCAGGAGAAAGTGATTAATCCTCAGAGTCGGCAATTCCATGAGGAACAACACAAGGCCCACAACAAAGAAATCTAGATATTCTGTAAGGACACGGGAAACGTGTGGTGCAATGTTCTCATGCAGGGTCTGAGAGATCCTGTTCTCACGCAGGTAATCAAAAGCTAAGTTCCATGTCAGGGCCACCATGGCTGTATCAGCAACATAGGAGAAGATGAGGTTCCAGGCAGTGATGAAAGCCCAGATTTCACCTATAGTGATAAAGCTGTAAAGATATGCAGAGCCAGAATGGGGAACCTGAGAACTAATCTCTGCATAGCACAGCCCAGCCAATACAGAAGATAGGCCGGCCACCAAAATGCAGATCACAAAAGATGGTCCTGCTTGATTGCTGGCCACCTCACCAGCCAGGACATACACACCTGCGCCCAATATGTGGTCTACACTCAGCACCACTAAATCCAGAGTGCTCAGGCTTATGGCAGTGTCATAAGGACACTGTTGCTCCTTAGGAAGTCTGCGAACCAGTTTTTGACCAAATCTGCGAAATGCCTGACACAGCATTGTAGCTGGAATTGAAGAGGGTTCTAGGAGCAGAGAGCTGTAGCAAGCACAGGAAGCCTGGAGTCTGGGATTCAGTTTGATGAAGCTGAGTTACGTCGAGCTGGGTTGGGGCTTCCGAGTTCTGTTGCTCAGATTTCAAATCTGCTGCTTTGTATTTCATCTGCTTTATGCTGTCCCTCCATAAAGCCTAAGTAAACAATAAATATTTACTAGACAATGGTGTTCTACCAACCAACCCAAATTCAGAAGTCCCATGTCATCTGTTGCAGCCCAGAAACTGACACCAAAAGACATCATAAAAAAAAAAACCTGCTTTCCCCCCACAAAAAGTAACAAATATCTCCAACATTCTCCTTTTTTTACACACTGGATGATATATTCCCATTTGGGTTCATCTAAGTCATGTAGCTTCATGTACTAATCAAGCTGTAAAATGCAGCAGAGCATGAATGTATTATGCAATAATTCATGCACCAGATGTTTGCAAGGTGCTTGGGCATGAGTTATGCACATTAATTCACAGAATAAGGGCCTCATTGTATTACAGAACCATTTTTAAAATAATAATCTGAGTTTAAAATACTAATGTTGGTCCTCCACTCTTAAAACTCTTAACCCCCAAATCAGCTAGCCAGGTTTAGGTATCACTTTGGTCCTCTTTCTCATCATTCGGCATCATCCATTAAGCTGTACTAATGGCAAAGAATGTACAGTTCAACCCTTCACATTAGCCATATAGGCTCACAGAGGCACTTTGAAAAGAGGAAGGAGAAGAAGAAGAAAAGGGTGGGGCTTCATAACTCCCTGCAAGAACCAGATGAACAGGTTGTCTGGTGAAGAGACAGTGGAGAAACGGATACAGCAGCCAACTGAGGGTCCATTTCTAAGAAGGGAGCAGAGCCAGAAAAGCTGTTTTGTGAATTGTGATATTCAATAATCCTAACCCAAAACAATGAGACAAAAATTAACCACAGTTATATCTACAGTTAAGAGAGTATGATGGGTAGGGAGAAACAAAATTAAGTCACCTCGCTCAGTAGCTCACAATGAAAACAATTACTTCTGTATCCTCCCTCCCTAGGTTCCAGGAGAGAAGGAGAGCTGACTTATGCAGACAGTCTCCTCTCTGGCCCCAAGATGCTCTATAAACGCCCTGAGCCATCTCTGATGTCAGCTCCCAATGGCTTGGAGAATCTGTTCTGCTCTGTGAGCTTTATTAAAACACTCACTTGTAACTCCCTATTAATTTTTCACAAGGAGTTATTTTTAACTCACCCAAACCACTCTCTGAATATGCCTATATATATACATATATATGTGTATATACACATATACATGTATATATATACATATATACATGTATTTACATATATATATGTATATATATATATATATATATAT